TTGTTTTTTTTTTAAATGTAGAACTGGTGTAAAAAAAAAAATCCTTTAAAAATCTGCCATCACAATAAATCCAAACAAGGCGAAAGCTGCAAAATCCCTTGTTGAGCATGAAATGGAAAAAGTTGAGAAACTTGTAGAAAATATGTTCCTTTTTAGGAAAACCTGACAAAAAGGCAAATAAACATTGTTCATATTTGGTATTGAAAAATATTCTCTGACGGTTTCATACATTTAGAAGGTTTTCTGGTTTAGGGTATCCAAAAAGAACAAAGTCTGGTTCGTATAATTTGTAGAGCTTTTGTCTCCATTCAAGAGGGATTTTGGAGAACCAGTCCTCCTCCCAACTACTAGCAGTCCTGTTTCGATAACTAGGAGGAAACTGGAAGAGGGAGTCTATGTTTAACTGCCTTAAAAGTTGAGGTGCATCCTCATCGAGTGTCTCCAACTTGCCTATGAAGTCATAATTAATCTGGCAAGGATGACAAAGGCGGTAAATTTGGCGCCAGTGTTCGTTGAAAGGTTGCTGCTCTTCAGTCCGGGCATCTAAAAGGTACTGAATAAACTGAGAGAAAGATGGTTTGGTTCCTAAGGAAAAGGCCTCACCTGCAGAAGTAGGAACGCTGGATCGGTTGGAGAAGCGGGTTAAGATGGGTATAGCAAAACTCCGGTAGAAGTCCTCATTTTCTAGCTCAAACTTACTGCGGAAGGCAGAGATAAGGCGAACAAAAGGATCTCGCACAAAGATAAATTTGGTGTATTTTTTCAATTTAATCTTCATCATGTGCCTAGAGAACTTTCCATACCTTCGCCAGAACTTGTTGAAAGTTAGATGACTACTGCTATTGTGGACATCCTCCCGGGGAATCAGTAAAGGGTCTTGGTAAGGAACACCCTTTTTGTCCAAGAGACTCTCGCTCAAGACAATCATTACCCGTTTCCAGTTGGTACAGGCTACTTTCGGCACATAACAATAAATAACTCCATGTCTATCATCCACTATCAGGTGATCCAATTCCTTGTTGGGAATGTCGTCAAACTCTCGGCTTTTAGTTGGGAAATTGAAGCTTGAGTTATCACAGAACCTGTGCAAAATGAAATTCCTCTCCTGCTGCACCAGCTCCTGATCTTGTGCACCCTCCTCGAGTTTGGATTTAAAAGACCAGTCATAACCCCTAACATTTTCCTCCAAGCTATGTGGGCCTTTTAAGGGCTCGTTTCCAGCCTTTGTGCTTTGAAAATCATTGTTTGTGGTTGCAAAGTTAAGAAAGCTATCTAAAAACCTGTCAATGTCCGAAGCATGTTCATTTTCTGTGGTTGGAGAGGCTGTCGTGCGTCCCCAGCCTGAGTGTGGAGGGAGGGATTTGGAGAAGGAAGTGTGGAGGTTAAAATTGGCTGTACCAACATTATCCCAGTAAACGATAATAAAAAGGATCATAAAGACAGAACCCAACACCACCACAAAACAGAACAGCCGTGACTTGGTCATTCTTGTGCAAACTGTCTACCTTCTCGTCACAGTGCCTTCATAAAGTGGTATCCCATCCTGAGGCTGATGGAATCAAGCTGAAAAACATGAATATAAAAGTTCTCTATTAGCAGTCCTAATGCAACAAATCAGACATTGTTGGGGGAAGAAAAATGGAAAAATAAGGTTTTTGCAAACATGTTCTATTTATGTTCAAGGTTATTATTACATAATAAACACACATCATATTGTCTCCAAATAGCACCCCAATGCACCTATACAGTAGACCTAAACACACCTGCACTACAAGGCACAACACAGCATAGATGTGCATTGTGGTGCAATGCATTGCCAAGTATATTACATGTGCTTTTTATTTTTTTTTATGTTGGGGGGGGTCCAGAGACCATTCAACATTAACAAGCTGCCTTAATGGAACAAGCCTCAATGCACAAGATATTTTTAAGGAAATAAAAAAAAGAAGTGCACGTCTATCCAAAACGTCTTTCTTAGTTTTAGATCGGTGGTTAGGGTGGGGAAGGATTAGAAACCCTGTCAGGTTACTACCAAATCTATCGAAGGCTGCTGCTGACCATGTTTTACCAGACAGGAAGCCAGGGGAACTCTCCGAGAGCAAGAGAGAAATTAAAATGCCTTATGGAGTAGGGGGAAGGCCAGAACCCATGCCAGATATTTATTTCTGTCTGCCTGTGTGTCACAGATCTTTCCCCACTTCCTGTCTGGTAAAACAGTTGTCAGCAGGACAGGAAGTGAAGGAAAGAATTTCTAACTGAGCCCCAGATGTTGCGTTTTGAATGCTATGGAAAAAGAGCCCAAAATGGCACGAGTTCTTCTAAACCTGTCTTACTTTATCCAAATCAAAAGACAACTTTAGCTTGAAATACACTCCGATTTCATTACTATGGCAAGAGGGCTGACAAGCTGCTCTGGGTCAGTAATTCAGAAAGCACAAAATCCAAAGCTTCAGCATTGAAGGTAACCAACCGGAAACAGAGTAAAACATGTCAGAGCTTGAGCTTCAGTTTCACAGGCTGTCTATTTACCTGTGAGGAACAGAGTGTATTGATTCATGTGGTAGTGCAGCTTTACTGCTTTGCTCCATGGAGAAACAATCCATACATACAATGCATTAGGGGGCTACCAAAAATTCTGAAAGTAAATACATATGGTCACCGGTGGACTTATGCAATCTGTTCATTTTTACAAAGACCGATTCTTCTTGTTCTTTTTTGTTTATTGTATTGAAAAATGGATTAAAAAACTTTCCAATGATCGAACTTAAAAATAACACTGGTACAATCTATTCATGAGTGGCCACCACCAATCATATCCACATGAACCTCAGATGGTCTCTGGAACTGGGAGAGGCGAATTCCATGCACAGAGCCTAAATGAGAACAGCTGAGCAGGCTGATACACTCCAGCTATTCTGTGGATCTGGACAGAGCTGCTGTTTACACAGACTAAACTGGCTCCGCTTAACAAGGCACCAAGTCCAGGGAATTGCTGAGGTGTCCACGTGTCACAGATAAAAACTCATACACAAGCTCTCTTTTTCTAACAGATAAAGACCATGGAATTTACATTCTCACGTGCAAAAGAGCTATAGCACTAACATCTCCCCAAAGTGAGGTTCATTCCCATCTTAGATTGTTGTCACCAGAACATAGGTCCCCAATGGAAGATTTTCCCCTCACCTCCTGCCCTCATGACAACTTTAAAATAGAGGATTATGCAAGAATCTAAATAATCAGTTCTAACGGAAATCCTAACCATTAGATAACCCAAGCCTGCTTTTTCGGACCTCTCCAAAAGAGGACAGTCCCCCTGTTGTTATCCAAAACCATTTTGCTTTAATTAATTTGAGTCACTGACTCAGAACATATGTAAATAAGAAACGTCATGCTTGGTCAGGAGCACGAGTAACTCTGATAGCAGGCAAAAAGCATTTTCAGAAGGAAAAAAAAAAAAAAGGCGGAGGATCGGACTGGGGAGCGGGGGGAATCCCTGCAGGGAGCCATGAGTGACAGTCACGGCTCTCTGCAGGGAGATGATCGTAAAGTGAGCGAGCAACGGTATGTGTTCGCTCACTTCCTGATCTTTTCAGCCGACGTGTGACAGTTTCATTGTCGCAGATCGGCTAGAACTATGAGGCTGAGTGATTTTCACTAGCCTCATAGTTCTCCTTTAAAGTCACATTTTTTTTTCTCCCCCCCCACCCCCCCAATGCTGGTGTATGCACACCAGTTGCAGTGCATTCCGGCCCGATTATGGTCGGAACGCACTGTATCGCATTGTGGCCGGCTCACTTTTTAGTGGGGCAGGAGGGGGCGTGGCGGGGCAATTAAGTGAATGGCACCATAACCAAGCCCCCGGCCGCAATGCGATCACCTGGACGGGATCGCAAGGCACATTGTGCCTGCGGTCCGGTCCGATCCGGTGCTTGCAGCATTTTGGATTACTGCTCAGATCTGGAAGAAATACACAAAGATCGCCAAGATTCGAGGAAGAATACAAGTGTCTCCTGTATTTAGACAATATGTGCTCGTCCTGGAGTTCTACATTATTACAGATTCCCTGCCTGCACTTAGCTTGCCAATTACCAAGTGGCGACAGGGTCTCTTCAAAGCACCCCTCAGCTCCAGTCTGGTAGTGAGCCCGTATACAAAAGACAAGAAATGTTTTTAATGGGCATGCAGTTGAGGTTCATGTGATGTGACCAGAGCATTTCACGGCTCGATTTGCCTCCCCCTCACACCCAGTCCAAAAGGAAAACCGGTGTAGGAGCCAGCGTGCCACCTGGTAAGATTTTTATACTTTGAGGTGGCCCTCTAGATAACTTTTTATTAATAATTGAGACACCCAGTGCGGTACAAAAATGTGGCTTTAACGAGGGGGCTGAGTAGTTGCTGTTTTCTAATCATTTATAGGTAAGCTGTGTGAATGAGAACACAAAACATAGAAAGAGATTTTCTCATATGTGACTACAAAAGTGGAAATACACCTTAAGAGGTAAAGTCTACATTTTAGAAAAATAAATAAATGCACTAATTCATAAAAGAAAAAGAAAAAAAAACAATTTTACATTTTTATTTGCATAGGAGCCAGTCAACTATTGCAACTGTGATCATTAGATCATGGGTGCAAGTCTCTGGCTCCTGCAGACTCTCCCTGCTGTCCCTACTGAAGTACCAACATTCAATAACGGGAGGAAGAATGAATGGACTACAAGGGCAGTGACGTTACCGCACTTGTTTTACATTGAGGGCTTGTTCACACGATGTCCGGATTCTGTCCGGACCAGATCCGTGCGCTCCTGCACCCAAAATGCATCCCAATGTATCCCTATGTGTTTTATAGGCTACAGTTCTCACCAGCACAATCCGTTCCGGTCAGAAAAAATACTGTGTGTCACTTTTTCTCCGGTCCGGAAACAGACTAGAAATGCACAAACGCAAGAAAACGCACCGCAGCTAACATACTGACAGTCCCAATCCAAAAAAAAAAGTAACTGGAACACATCAAAAACACACTGCATGCATAGCACCGCGTCTGCAGATCTGCTTCAGATCTGGACCAGAAAATGGTATGTACAAGCCCTTAGATCTACAAATGTATCTGCTGCAGTGACCGTATCTGCTGCAGTGACTGATGGGACTAATAGTTTCTCCATTCACAGATCCTGTGAAAGGAGCCGTCAATGGATGACACTGCTGTATGGGCGGAGCCAAGCTTAGCCGCACCAGATTTAAAAAAATAAAAATAGCAGCAGCCTGTGGGGAGTAGAACGTAACAATTCAGATATTGGGGGGGGGTTGAGATGAGTACGATGTGACCTAATGTTTCATGTTACACCCTGAAAAGGAGGACAACATGAAACACGGTCAAAAAAGGTAAAGTTGGCCTTTAAAAACACTTTTGTGAATTTTTAAATTCTAAATGTGAAGAAATGATTTCCTGTCCTTGTTTTTCACAACAGGCTATGAAGCAAGTGCAGAGAGGAAGTACTGGAGGCTGATACAAAACCGTTTCCGCTTGGGAAACAATGCTTATCTCAGATATGCAAAAAAACAAGAAGTAAACAAACCAAAAAGAAAATCAAAATAAACAAAATCACACAGAATAATTTAGGTTTAAAACAGCCTAACATGCCACAAAATTAAAAACTGAAATCTAAATAAAACAAATCTGTTTTTGAAACAGGTGTAATCCAGCATGAAACATTTCCTGAACTTTGCCTCTGTGCAGGAGCTTCTTATAATAAAAGACCGGTCACTTCTACTCTCTCTTTGTGCAGGGTGACTGGTCTGGTCTCCGCCCCTTTTCTACAGTCTGTATTGGGTTGCCCTGAAGAGTCCCTCCCTCAGCTCAGGCTATGCAGAGCACAGTGAGGATGTCACTGCTACGTTTACAAAGTAGTGTCTGCTAAAGGCAATTAGTACACAAAAAGCAGATTTACATATTTTTAAAGGCATTGCTATACAGTATATTCAAGTTCATTTTTACTTAAAATTTTTTATTTATCTTATGTTTTACTTAATTTATATTATTTTTTAACTGTATCAGTTTTTATTTTTTGTAACCATTTTTTTGTATTGTTATTTTATAATTTTTTACTTTTTTCACTTAACTTTACTGCTGTCAGACAGGAGCTAACAAGCCCCTGTGTGATAGGATTTGGAGGTGACAGGTTCTCTTTAAGGCAACCGGTCACCTCCAATACAGGAGTGTTAGCACGGCACTGTGCTCGATCTCTGAGACAGGACGGCAGCGCAGAGCAGACTGCAGACCGGACGGTCTCCACTTTTCGCCCCTCTCTCCATCCTGATGTAATTTGCCGTGGTCCCGGGTCCCCCAAAAGAGAGGGGGACCCGGAAAACCATGGCAGGGAGGTGTCTGGCAAGGTTGACAGACCACGATGGGGGGGAATTTCGGGGACAGACCAGCAGGCTAATTACAAGGGATTTTGCCGGCTGTGCAGCCGCCATCACTTGTACAAAATGAAATCACCCGCTCTGCATTTAGCGCTGCTTGCCCGAAGCAGGGCTAAACGTAGGGGAAAAAACACCCGCCCTGCGCCCGGAACTGTATGCATCGGCGTCGGGAAAGCAAGTATTTTAGTAAAAACTAGACGTGGCAATTGTTTGTTGCGACAGGGCTGGACAAATCCCAGGAGCCAGGTAGACAATGCTCCTTAAAAAGGAGAATTATGAGGCGAGTGATTTTCACTCAGCCTCATAATCTGAGCCGACCTGCGACATTGAAACTGGTCGGCTCAGTAGATCGGGAAGTGAGCGAACACAGAATTGTCGGGATCCGTTCCGGCTCTGGTGTCTCAGTATACTGAGCTTTGGGTGACGGGAGGACGCTAGTTTGTGTCCTCCCGTTACCCTTAGGATAACCATGGGGAAAAGCCCTAACCCCATAGTTCTCCTTTAAAAATGACAGCTGGCACCTAGCTCTTGAGATTTGCTCTGTAGTTTACCTTGGGGGGTCTCCATATGGATCAAATAATGACAGTAATATTTGCAATCATCTTTAGATCAAAGCAGAGACACTGGCCAATCATTGCTGTGGGGAAAAGAAGGGATAAAGATGGAATCAATTAGTCAGGCTGGATAACAACAGAAACAGAGCCAGGAGAGTCTGCCAAGGGGGAAAAAAAAAAAAAGTGATCAAATTATGATCACATCGCAATCTTCATCCTTCCAAAACATATTTTAGTTATAAATATACGCTGGTAAGAAATTATAACCCTTTTAATAAAATCCAATAACAATATCCTGCTGGAGTTTCCAGCGCTACATCCCCATCATTCAATAAACCCAAAATCTCCTGAGGATGTACTCCTGCACAGTGCAAGTGAAGGCAAACCGGCCAGTAGCCAGGGTCTGCAGCAAGCATCTATATTCCATATGCTACTGGCCACAGCATTTGGAGGAAGCCTAGAAATTCAAGTGTGGAGCTTTCACTGGAGACTCCAAGTGATGGAAGAAACCAAAAACCCCAAGTCTCCTGAGGATGTACTCCTGCACAGTGCAAGTGAAGGACGCATGACATCATTGGCATCTAGGCAAACCGGCCAGTAGCCAGGGTCTGCCGCAAGCATCTACATTCTATATCCTACTGGCCATAGCATAAGGAGGCAGCCAATATGAGAAAATCAAGTTTGGAGCTTTCCATGGGGACTCCACGTGATGGAAGAAACCAAAAACATGCTGGTAGGTTAACAGTGGTATGAATAAACTCAACCCCATGTGTGTAGTAGTACAGGGCTGGACAAATCCCTGGAGCCAGGTAGCCAATGCTCCTTAAAAATTACAGCTGGAGCCCCACTGTTGAGGTTCTCTCTAGAAGTGTCAAGGCTATGGCATTTCCTGTCACTCTATAAGGATGTGAAAGCTGAACAATGAAGGAGCAAAAGAGGAAAAAGTATGGACGCCCTTTACCTTTGGTGCTGAGTGAAGAAGTCAAAGAATATTGTGGATAGCAAAGAAAACAAATTGGATCCTTCACCGAATGAATCCCCAACTTTTCTAGAAGATCGGGTGACTAGACCAGGGCTGGACAAATCTCAGGAGCCAGTTAGCCAATGCTTCTTAAAAATTACAGCTGGCACCTAACTTTTGAGGTTTTCTCTAGATGATGTCCATGGAGCTGACTCCTAAAGAAAATGCTGCCGACTCCTGGATGGTAGACTGGTCTCATTAATTCCATATTCATTTTTCCGCTCCTGGGTTACACTGAAGCAGTCTTATTTTGGACATGCACTACATGGCCAAAAAGTTAGTAGACACCTGACCATCAAACCAACCTATATGGTCAAAAGTAGGTGACCACCCTTCCATATTACGGAGTTTAGGTGTTTTCACTGAAGGTTATGGTTAATATTAGAGCATGGAGAGACATTTTAGACAAAGAGAAAGGTTTTATTAAAAAATGTCTTAAGTGTGTTGGAGAACCAAGGAAAGCAAAATGTTAGGGATGTCCCGATACCGATGCTAGCATCAGAATCGGGCCCGATACAGGGCATTTTGACAAGTACTTGTACTTGTCAAAATGCCCCGATACAAAGCGCCGAAGCTTGCGCTATGTTTTTTACTTTACCTTTCATGGTGGGGTCCTCTGGGCAGGCATGCCACCCGCAGCATGTACGGGCGGCGGGGCTGGAGAGGCTGTCACTTTTTTTTTTTTTTACTTACCACGTCGCGCCGAGCGTCGCGCCTATGCTGCTCAGGTGGGTGGTACTCCAGGCAGTCGCCGGCCACCTAAATTAGGACCCCACCTGGAGCACCGCCCACCGGAGCAGCAGTGATGCGACGCTCCTCTCCAGCTTAGTGCCGACGACGTCCTCACTCGTGAGAAACATCGTGAGGCACCGCGATCGAGGCAACAGTGAGTAAGACGGGGCCTGGGCTTAGTTTTTTGTGTGATCTACTGCTGCAGTGCATTCTATATGTACAGTACATATAGAATGCACTGCAGCAATAGATTTACAATGATCCCCTGCTAACATGAATGGGTTAAATGATCCGTAGTACAACTACATGTTATGTACTATGGATCATGATTTAACCTATTCATGTTAGCAGGGGATAATTGTAACTCTATTACTGCAGTGTACGGGACATGTGTACTGTATATGTACTATGATTTAACATATTCATGTTAGCAGGGCAGAATTGAGAACGCCTCCCACAAGCTGAGCACCGAGACGTGATGCAGCAATCCGAGACTACAAGAGGCACCTCGTGAGGCAACAGGGATCGGAGTGAAACTGTAAGTGAGGGAAGCTGGGATGGGGCTGGCTGTAAATCTATTGCTATAGTGTACTGGACGTGTGTAATGTATATGTAGTGCATATATACAGCACACACCTCCACTACACTCCAGCAATAGAGTTACAATTCTCCACTGCTAACATGAATAGGTTAAATCATGATCCATAGTACATAACATGTAGTTGTACTATGGATCGTTTAAAGTCACCTGTCCCTTTAAAAAAAAAAAAAGGATCGGTAATTGTATCGGCAAGTACACGCGGGGAAGTACTTGGCCTGAAAAAGTGCTATCGGGACATCCCTACAAAACATAATAATAAACATGATTATTATTATTATTATTGATGCACCAATACTAATATCAGTGCCGATACCGAGTATATGGGCGAGTACAGGAACTTCTGCTATCAGGAAGTCAGCTCCATGCTCCCTCGTCACCAGGGAACATGGAGCTGGCAATTAACAGTAATAGTGCCTGCCAAGGGGGAACAAAACAGTACACGCGTGATCCACAAGCTCATACTTAAAATTGTAAATATGGAAAAACACCCCCCATGCTGCTGTAACAGGACTGCGATCATGTACAGCTGAAATATCTGCCAGGTGGACTATCCCTTTAACAAGTCAAAGATTTCTGTAGTTGGCTAGTAAAATGCCCTCCAACACAACTGATGGGTAAACATTGCACAATGCTCTGCGCTCATCATGCACCCCTGCAGCAAGTTTGCCGGTATAATGGAGGGTGAAGATCTCCCTGCAAGGCTGGAAACCCAACATACAGCACTCAGCCCGCCTGTGATCTGCGATGTACACAGCAAGTCTGTGCAGATCTCCGCTATCCAGGGCCCTCCGGGGTGTACAGCGAGCGCCATAGAGCTGTCATCTGATAGCTAGACACAGACCGTACCTGCGTGGCAGGGAAGGATGCTCCCTATGGCGACACTCACTCCATGCTTCTTCCCTGCAACCGATCTTTGTCGACATGAAGCCGGAGGATGAAGACAACGGGGCAGCTCCGCTCTCAGCTTTCTGTAACCAGCCCGTTATACAGCTAAGCCGGGGAACCTCTAGCTCCGCCCACAGCTTAAGGGACCAGAGAGGTGGAGCCAGTCACGTGAGGGGTTTGAGCGAGGCGGCGCCGCCATCTTTGTTGTTTCCTTTGGGGGCTGGGGAGCTTAAAGAGCCATTGTTGTTCTTTCTGTAAAAAGTCATTCTGTGGGGTAAAGTAATCCTAAAAAGTAAAACTATATATATATCTATCTATCTATATACATATAGATAGATAGATATATATAGATATATATCTATATATATATACACACACACATATACATACATACATACATACATACATATAGTGCAGCTTAGCAGTCTTTAGATGTAGTGGCTGCATTAGTTGTTTTTTTTCAGGTTAAGTACTTTTTTCTGAGTTAAAGCTATACAGGACTAGGCGGAAATTCGAGTAGTGTGTGGCCCTGTCAACTCTTTGACTTTTGTCGAAGAAACAACTGATAATTGTCAATTGTACATTGCAGCCAATTAGTGTCTTTCTGTACTCTGACAGCAGCATGTTGCAGCTTTCAGTATACAAAAGCCTAAACTGCATGAAAGGGGAAAATGAGAAGAAAAATAAGCTTTTGAAGGGTCTTTATATAAACAAATTGCAGAGGCATTCGCCTTGCAGACCTCTGTGAACGTTTATTTGGTGGAAATGGAGGCAAAAGAACATTCTCAGTATATTTTCTTTTCGTTAAATGTAATACTGTATTAGGAAGTATGGCCACTAGATGGAGCTGAGGAGAATAGGAAAGTAGTATTTATCGCATGTGCACCTCAGTTCCATCTAGTGGACATAGCGCAGTATTACAATACAGTAAGGCCCCATTCACATGTAGCGACTTATCGCGCGATTTCCGCCGCGATATCGCGCATTTTTGCCGCGTGATATCGCGAGAAGTCGCCTACTAATGATAGTCAATGGAGCTGTCTTAGCTCCATGTCGCTTGTGGCGGTCGCAAGTCGCTTCTACAGGACCCTTTTTTCGGCGGATTTTGCGCGATTTTGCTTTTTTTCTATGGAGCCCGACGGAGAAGGTCGCGCTACAAAGGTATGTCGCTACATGTGAATGGGGCCTAATACATAAAGCAGTATTACATTTCACATCCTCAGCTCCATCTAGTGGCCATGGTGCAGTATTGCAATACAGTAATACATAAAGCAGTATTACATTTCACATCCTCCTCAGCTCCATCTAGTGGCCAAGTTGCAGTATTACAATACAGTAAGTAATACATAAAGCAGTATTACATTTCATGTGCACCTATGCTCCATCTAGTGGCCACAGTGCGGTATTACAATACATAAATACATAAAGCAGTATTACATTTCATGTGCTCCTAAGCTCCATCTAGTGGCCATGATGCAGTATTACAATACAGTAAGTAATACATAAAGCAGTATTACATTTCCTATGCTCAGCTCCATCTAGTGGCCATAGTGCAGTATTACAATACAGTAATACATAAAGCAGTATTACATTAACCTATGCTCAGCTCCATCTAGTGGCCATGGTGCAGTATTACAATACAGTAGTTAGTACATAAAGCAGTATTACATTTCCTATGCTCAGCTCCATCTAGTGGCCATAGTGCAGTATTACAATACAGTAATACATAAAGCAGTGTTACGTTTCACGTGCTCCTCTGCTCCATCCAATGGCCATAGTGCAGGTATTACAATACATTACTTTTGACCTAAATAGGAATGAGGATAGGTTCACACCAAGTCGTTTGTAGTTTTTGCACATTTTTTTGCCCGACTTTGCTTTTAAAAAATGCTTTTCCTGCATAAAAATGCCTGTGGGATACGCCTCAAAATAGCTCCTGCATCTTTTGGCAGAGCCAGCTGTCACGCAGCTGGGCGGATCCCGGCATAATTGTCGGCATCCGCTTCAGCTGCGGCGTCTCAGAATACCGCAAGCAGAATACTGAGCCTAGGGTGACGGGAGGACGCTAGTTTGTGTCCTCCTGTTACCCTAAGGAGAACTATGGGGAAAAGCCTTAACCTCAAAGTTCTCCTTTAAGCACTTGATTTTGTCTAGGGGACTGAATAAAGTAGATATACTCACCGTTATAATCCTCTGTCCTCACCGTACTGCTAGACCGGTCCCCGCAGCCCAAGGACCCCGTGATGTCATCACGTCTAATGCAGGACCATTAAACGGGAAGACACCAAGGAACATACCACAGCCGGAGCGGAGAGGGAGAGGCTCTGTGAGAAGGAAGTTCATATTCACAGTGCTGAGTGAAATGGTGTCAGTGCATTGAGGAAGTCCATCCTATGACCATCTTCAACAAGTAGGTTTACAAACTTCTAGATGGATCTGGTTATTAGGAGCGGAATAGAACGTATGGAAATTCAGTATAAAAAGACAAATGTATTTTCAGTTTTTTTAATTCTTTATTTTAGACACAAGTAGCAGAAGTATATTATCCATAAAGGTTGGACAGTAACAAGAGTTGAGTCATGGTATAAAAAACATTGGCAAAACCGCCATTGCATGGACATTGTAGAAAACATTCACAGTATGCATTGATTCAGGCCTGTAAAAAGGCAATATTAACAACGACTGCTAAACATGCGTTTTGTTTTGTTTTTTTATTTATTAATCTGTCCCTGGTGTCCCACAAAATGTAGGAATTAGCAGTCGAACGACGCAATGGGACACAAAGGAGTATTTCTAGAAAAGGTAAGCAGAGGGAACAGTTCGAAGAAGGGAGTGTGGGGGAAGAGAGAAAAGGGGGGGGGGCAATTTGCAAAGCCAAGAGACATTGTCAAGGCATCAGAGGAGCCTCTGAGGAGAGGAGGTATCCGTGCCAATAAAACCATCTTTTATTGAATTTTGTTTCCTGGTGGTGTATGGAAGCTGTCATGCATTACATCATCTCCGTTTCCCGGACTTTCGAGATCCACATGGCTATGGTTGGAGCAGTGGTTGTCTTCCAAAGCAGGGGGATGCACATTTTAGCTGCATTGAGCAGGTGTATCAGCAGAGATCGTTTATACCTCTTCCGTGAGAGGCCAGAGTATTTTCAGTTTTTTGACCATAAAAAAAAATCTCAAAGTAGTATTCACCATCTCGCACTGCGATCCTCATCCTCCTCTGTTCCAGCCACCACTAGCTGAAGCACCACCGGCTACATTCACCCCACTTCTTGTGAGCCTACGACATCAAGGACTCACCTTCTTGGGGTGCGTCATCAAGGCACCCTGGCCTCACAGGATAATGACGCAGTGAACAGCACCCACGTCACTACGTGGCACTGTCCTCTGCATTATAGGGGACCATCCACCACCACAGCAGGAATAAGGTGAGGAGGACCCAGAATCTCACATGATCGGACAGCTCCAAAAAAAAGTTTGCATGCAAAACTTTTTTAAAAAGGAGGGGGAGCTACATGACCCCATTTTAAGGTTGCCATCATTTAATTACTCTCATTTCAAAGTAGGGTACACCCACAGCAAATTGTGGTTGATTGAGCAAGAATCAGCCAAAATTCACTGCATTGGTGACCTTTTGTGCCGTGTTGTCCTCAATGCACATGATTGCATGGCCAACAAATCCAGCATTGCCCCACTGCAATCTGCTGTCAGGTGACACAGTCCGGGTCCCACGCCATCATCATGGTGTTCCTCAGTCATTAGGAGCCGGCTGCCTCTACCAGCAATGATGTACGTAGCTCCCCCCACCGGCCGCTCTGTGTCCCTACTCCTGAAGCCTCCTGGGACATGTAGTGGGGATATGAACACGTTACGTCAATGTTGCCTAAATAAGAATGGCGGAGCCAGCTATTTTTGGGCAGGTGTCACGCGGTTTGGGTCCCATAGACATCTCTATGCATTGAAAACCGCACAATTTTCAAAGAACAGTCGTGCAAACAAAAAACGCGCAAAAACAGCTCACTAGCTCCATCGCCTAGGTGTGAACCTAGCCTCACTCTTGTTAGAGGCAACCTTCACCCTCATTTATCACACGCCTTGCTCTTAATGTTCACTCTCTGAGTTGTACTAACCACAAATCATTTTTATCTTATCTGTTAATAATACCTTTATTATTCATCTGTCTGTGAAGGTTCTCATTCATCCAGGTCATGGTATATCTGTAAAAAATAAGTCAAGGCGGCTGGACATGCTGTATTTTTCTTGAAGACGTTTCACTGGTCATCCAACCAGCTTTCTCAATTCAGAATTCTACAGGGTCTGAATTGAGAAAGCTGGTCGTATGACCAGTGAAACGTCTTCAAGAAACATACAGCAAGTCCAGTTGCCTTGACCTATTTTTTACAGATATATTTTTATTGATCGTGCCTCTGAACTTGCCTATTTCTCGACTAGGCAACAATGACATCAGTTGTGCTGGTGTGCACATGCATGAGATTTGCTCTAGAATCATTTGGTTTACATGTTGCAATAATAACAGTAATGTAAGCGCCGCACATGTGCACCCTGCACTCTAAGGGGCGCTTCACACCAGCTCCGGTGTGGTCCAGCACGGTTCAATGCTGGAACGCACTGGAGGCCGGCCGGCTTCCTTCAGTAGTGCAGGCAGCATTTTTTCAGATCGCACTGAACCGTAACGCAGGCACTAATGTGCCACGCATTCTGGTGCAGACGAATGCAGTGTGGGTGGGGGGCATGGCTGCATTGCCATTGACTTCAAAACACTGTCAGACCCACTCCCACCCCTGAATGCAGGAAGCCGGTCGGGATTCGCTCCAGCAGCAAATCGTGCTGGAATGCACCAGAGCTGGTGTGAACCAGCCCTTAAGGGAATCATTTGCTTTGCACATTGCCACAGTAACACCAATGTGTAATCCAAATTATTCCCCGTCTGAGTGCTGGGTGAGCATGCCAGAAAATGGTGGCACACCCGGAACTCTAAAGGAAATCATTTGGTTTACACATCACAATAGTAATGGCAACGCAAATCCGCCACATGATTAGAGCAGCACAGCTGAGGCATGGAAATAGTATGTTGTCATAGTAGCAGCTGACAATGCATGTG